TATATATATATGAGTAAGGTACAAAAGTCTGAGCCCACTTGTGAAAATGCTTCTAGTTTGCTAATTTCACACATTTTTTATTTTTTTAATCAATGGCGTTATATCTGGCAGACACCTCCTAGTGACTTTTTCACACATTTTTAATCAATTCTTCTCTAATTTTTTAAAGTTAATTATGTTAGAAATAATATTTTGTGTATTGCTTATTCATTTGATGTCATAACATTTCTTATTTTTAGCATTTTGATAATAATAATAGTGATAAACTGTTTTATATTTTTATGATTTATTGTCCAGGTTTAAATAGATTTTGAATTGTAGGTGTGAGAAACTGCTAAAATGAAATGAATCCTCATATTTTAGATAGTATTTATTTAATTTACTCAAACAGTTGAATCAAGTTGTAAGTGAGAACCTCAGAATGACCAAATATTGTTAAAGTAATTGGTATGAGAGATGCATTTCACATTTAATTTATTTCTCTGTTCCAGCCCCGAAGACATGCAGTCCGAAGCAGTTTGTGTGTAAAGACCAGGTAACCTGCATCTCCAAAGGCTGGCGCTGTGATGGAGAGAAAGACTGTCCCGACGGCTCTGATGAAGCCGCAGATATCTGTGAGTAAACCGGTTTATCTCATCATCATGACACAAAGATATGATATGATAAGCAGAGCTAAAATGTTATGACGTTATAAACTAAAGCCAGATAAAGTCTCAGGTAGTTTTGTGTCTACAAGTTAAAAATAGCTTTAAAATTTATCTCGAGATCTGTTGCGTGCCAGTCTAGTTGTTTCTGAAAGAAAATACATGTCCAGCTGTTGCTGCCCTGAACTGAAAGTCACCATGAGCATTGTTTGTGCAAATTGCAAGGTAGTGCTGAAATGAATGCAGCAAACAATCACTAAATTAAAAATGGGACATTTCTCACTGCTTTTTAATTGTGGATGCATGCGTATTTAAATTCAGGCCGATACTGATTAACTGACAATTTATTCCTTCTAAGAGTATAGAATATTAAAATTCTATACTGTTTGGTTTAAATTATAAAAAAAATAAAATACAAAAAAAGTAAAACAATAGTTTTAAATGCTACATGTTAATTTAGGCATCAAAATATTATTATTCTATGTGGTATGAAAAATGGATATTCATTTTGAGATTTGCAGTGTTTTTAAGTTTAATTGAATAATTATTAGTGTTTTTAAAGACTAAATTTAAGTAAACATTAGATGACTGCTTATATTAAATATCCAATATCTCATAATTGATATGGAACAGATATACATTCCTAATTTTGATCATTGTGAAATGTTTGAAGTTGAAATTTCCATGATTGATAAGCAATTATCAATCATGGAAATTTCAACTTCAAAACATTTCACGTCTCCTCTGAGTACCCGTGACCTTTCCTCATTACATGTATCTAACTAATCTAACCATTGATCGAACTGTGCATTGACCTAAATGTTTGTGTAGTGTTAAGTAGAGCCTAGAGCACATTGGGGTTGAAGACGGACACACACTGCAGTACACGGTTTGAAGTAGAGGTCTGCACGGGACTGTTTTTTTTGTCCCGCTCCCGCAAGGTTCTATTCCGTACCCACCCGCTCCTGCTATATATTCACTCTTTGTTCACCCGCTGTCCGCTTAGAATAATTTTCTTCCCGACCCGACTGTTCCCGCTAAATTTAGATCTCGTTTCCAGAATCTCACATTTAAATTTCCGCTACTGA